AAACACTGAAAAAAATCAGGGCCATTTCTAAATAAATTAAAGCAGAAAAAAATCAAGCAGTTTAGAAACCAAGAATGTATTTCTCATTCTTACTTCACCAGCAAGAGGAGGCAAAGAGAATTTTCCAGCCTTTTCATAAGAGGATCACAGTAGACCCAACAGATACATTTGTCTCCAAGAGAGACATAACGATGAAAAAAAAAAAAAGAGAGAGAAGTCTGATCTACTGTGCAGGTCATACAGGATCTCTATGAAACCTACACTGACTCACACTTTAAGACACAGAGCTGAATGGAAAGATAAGCAGGGATCAGTAGAGACAGAGCTGCAGGAAGTTTAGAGCTAGGTACCTGAATGTGCTTTTGAACACACAGCATATACCATCAATCTGTGAGAGTTATCTTTCTTATACCTATAGGATTTTTTACTTGATAAAGAAACAGCCGACTGTTGCAAGTGGAAATGGATAACACCTTAGTCCCTTTGATGTAAGTCACAAGAGAAGACAACATTATGTCAATGGAGCCACTGGTTGCCATAACTACCAAGAAATACACAAAAACCATCACTGCACAAACCTGTTAAACAAAATTCTTAACCTGACTTTTCACCTTTCAGGATATGCAACCCTCACCAGAGGTACTATTCGTGTTGTGCTATAATGCAGCACCAAAACATCTGCTTCCCACATGATTAATTTAACAAGTAAGTCAAGACACAGACATACTCTGAAACAGGACACAGCAGCACACAATAGCCAGTGTTGAGGCTCTCTAGTATATCAGGTAATTGTCTACAGACTTAGAGGGGAATCAGAACAAGACAGCCATAGAAACAAGATGGTACTCAGCAGTAACAGATTATTAACTAGTTATACTCTTATAATATCCATATGGCATATTGCTTTCTTCAAGCTTATTTCATAATATATCAGTTTCATTATAATACAAGACCATCTACTAACCAAAAAAATACTCCAGTTGGAATTTTCTCCTGTGCAACTGCATGTTTTTTTTTTAAATCCAACAGATGAACTCATTTGAACTATGAGCATATGTCTACTCAAAATGCTTTAGAACTGAAGATTTTTTGCTTCTTCAGAACATTATTAATTACCTCTGAAGGGCTTGCTAAATTTCACTTGCAAATAGCTATATACCATATGGGAGACAACTACAAACTATTTTTACCTCCTGACATATCAATGGATTTTAAAATCTATTCAACCTTGCCACAGGAAGAATTTTTAATACTTTCTCAAACAGCTACATTTACAAACCTGAATATTTTCTAAAGTCTACATTACATTCTAATAGATAAGATCAACTTCAACATCATTTTGATGTTTAAGTGTTAACTTAAACATCAAAAACACTGAAATCTGCATGGAAATCAAAAGGCTCAAAAATGTGACAATCTGATTTTTCCAGAACAAATGAGAATTACACAAGGTGCCTAAAGCAATTCAAGGTACCTAAGGCAAATCAGTATCCATCTATTATGCTATATTCCACCTTCTTTTTATAAAGGCACCAGAAATAAAAAAACTAACACTCAGGTATCCCTATAAAGCAAATTATACATTTAATTAGTACTACAAGATTAACACATACCCATCCCCATACTCTAGGGCAAACCATCTCTAGATTTACATTAGCCATCCTAAAGGTAATGAAAAGATATTCCAGATTCTAAACTGGAGAGATTTCTTTTATAGCAGATTAGTGAACTAAGACTTCACAAGAAGTATTTTTTGAGCTGCATAAAATAAATAACATGAATATGGAGACCAGATAACAAGAACAGAAACAATAGTTACTACAGTATTCATATACAGCATCTACACAAAATTTTATCTGAGCAAACAGATGGTAGATAAAGTTTGTAAGCAGGCACCACATTTGATTCCCTTGCTATTAATAGAAGCCCAGGCTGTAGTGGTCAAGGTTATATCAGGCTAGACACACTCCAGTTTCCTAAGTCCACCATGAAGGCCATCCAACTTTGAGATGCAAAGCATTACCTTTGTAATTGGGCAGTTGATTTGTATACACAAAGTTAAAACACTGTATAAACATGCTGCATGGTAGTAATTCAAGTCAATAGGTAAAACTGCGTGTTCGCACACATTAATATTTTTCACAATGGTTTAAGCGTAATTTACTTTGTCTTGCACAACAAAGTTTCTAGTTCACTTAATTGCAATGGCTTAACATCAGTTCTTATCTGCAGAAACAGAAGTGACCTTATGTTAAAAGCAGACACCCCATATGCTGTCATGTATTGTCCTCCTTCTATGTCCAAGAGGACAGGAAAACCTACTGCTCAACACCGAGTGTTGTTTCTGAACAAATATTATGCAATTCTTTATCTTTAGTGACCAAAACTCCTGAAGTGACCTACCTCACAAATAAGACAATTTACTCTCCAATTCTACCATTAAAAGTAGTAAGTAGGGTACATAGAAACGAGAAGATTGTTACTCCCTTGGGGTTTGCATCTGCTTACATTGCAAATTTAACAGCATTTTTTATTTCTTCTGCATTAAACCAGCTTTCCTCAAGAAGAAAACTGTTTAAAATAAGAGACAACTGGGAAAGCTATACAGTCTGGGATGAGAGCAGGATGACAAGTTATTTTAATATGCACCCTACAGTAGTTCAATTTGTGTGTACTGTTAAAATCCTGCCACTAAGAGGAGTCCTAAGTCTAATCCACAGTGAACAGTGGAAGAAGTAGTATTCATTTTTTTCCTGTTTCTCAAGATCAAGGGAAACTCTTACTTCAGTGATGCTGAGGAAAGCAGAATCACCACAAGTTGAAGAAGAACTGATAAAGAAAGAATCACTTTTTCTTTGCAGTAGCAACTTGAAACCACTGAAGATTACTGAAAGCAAAAGGAGGGAAGAAATTCCGCCACTGGAGGAAGTCGATCAATAAGAAGACCCCACCAAAAAAGAATTAATAAATGATGAAGGCAGATAGCAAGAGAAAGAAAATCTGAGAAAAGTATAAGAAACAAAAACTGAAGCCACCCGAAGGCCTGCAGCAGAAAAATGGTGATTAGAGATGCAAAGAACTGGAGTCAAGGCAACAACATTCAAGAAACAGAAGAAACAGAATTAATGAAATCTCTAAGTAGAAATGCAAAAAGAGAAGGAATCTTAAGATGCTGAGTGAGTGATACAGAGTTATAGACTGTAAATTTGCAAAAGCAAGAAAAGAACCAAGGAAAATGTTTTAAAATTTCTCTATGTTCCTAGTGTTTTGTGGTAGATACACCACAATTTAGCATACCATCTCATCCAGGCTAAGACAGTCAAGACAGACGATTCCAGAAGGCTTGTCAGAAGAGACTCCTCATTCAAGCACTCCAAACTGTCATCTAGTGAAGCCTTTAGCTAGCTGGTGAATCAACAGGAACATAAGGAGCTCCAAAAGACACTCGGTTGTATAATTTGAAGTTTACTGGCTAGGTATTGCCTTCATCCAGTAACTGATCTTTCCTTTCACCATTGAGTACATATTAGAACAAAGAAGAACTTAATGTGGTACCGATTCCTCTTCTTCTGACCAGGCACTTCAGTCTTGCCTCCAGTAGGTCAGAATACAAAAGACCTTTGACTTCCACAAAACCCTACCCTATTGTATTCATCCGAGCTTTACCACATTCCTTGATTTAAAGCAAAGGTAGCAAAATGAACTGTAGACCGGGAAATCACACAAAAATGGCTCCCTCTCACTCAATCTGTTCAATACTTTGGCTTATCTGCTCACATGCTGTCCCAAAGTATTTTGACTTCACGGCTAGCTGTGTTAGGCCAAGGCTGCAAGCTAAAAGGTGACAGGTACTGCCTCCCATGCACTCTGCCTTATCAACTTTCCTGAAGGCTGGCACTCGCTGCAAGGGCAACAAAATTCGCATGAGCGTCCTAAAAAAAAGGCGCACACACATCAACAAAGCCACCTTGCCGAACCCCGGCGGACTCCTCGCTCAGCCCGTGGTCCGAGCTGCAGCCAGGGATAGAGCCGGCCTCACTTACTGCCCTCCCTCAGGGCGGCTGCGGGCCGGAGCCGCGCTCCCGGCACGGCCCGGGCACGGCTCCGCCGCCCGCGGGGGCGCCCCCGCCGGAAGGTGCCCGCCCGCCCCGCCGCGGCCGCTCCGCGCTCACCCGGCCTCCCGCATGACGTTGCTGTCGCCGCAGTCGCAGGCGCCCCCCGCCTGGCTCCGGAACATGTTGTAGTCGTGCCCAGCGTGCTCGCCCTGGTGGAAGCACTCGGCGCACAGGCTCATGCAAGGCGAGATTCCGCACGTCCGGCACCGGTAGGCCACGAAGTTGGCGGTCCATACCAGGCCGCACAGCGTGGCCGGGTCGTAGGCCCGCACGGCTTGCACGAAGCTGTCCCAGGGCTCCCCGCCCGACAGCAGGCAGCGGCACCACTCCAGCGCCTCGCCCGCCGCCTCGCCGCCGCCCGGGGCCGACGCCGGGGCCAGCACCCGCTCCAGCAGCGCCCGCAGCTCCGCCGCCGCCCCCGCGCCGCCCCCGCCGCCCAGCGCCGTCTTCAGCCGCGCTGCCGTCGCCCGCTTGTCCCTGCTGCTGGCGCCGGCCCCCGCCATGACGGGACACCGAGGGGCCGTTACGGCCGCGCCGGGCTCCTGATCCGTGATCCCTCCGCCGCCCTCGCTCCCCGCCCCGCGGCGCCGCCCTCTCGCGATAGCCGCGGCACCGGCGCCCTGCCCGCCGCCCGCGCCCCCCTCCCGACACCGCCTCTCCCCTCCCCTGACACCACCCTCCTCTTCCTCCGCCCCTGCCCTCCCGCCGCCCTCCCAGCGCGCAGGTGCGTGCCCCGCGCTGCCGCCGCACGAAATGTCGCCGCCCGGTGGCTCGAAACTTCACGTTCGTCCCGGGGTCCCGGCAACCGCGGGGAGTGTGGAGGGCGCACCTGGGCCGGCCGGCGGCCCCGACGGCAGCAGAGCTCATTTGTTACCGATCCGTGCCCGCGAAGCGGCTGCCGTGAGACGCCTTGCGGCCGCTCGTGTATCCTGGCCACAAGAGTCCCGCCGGGCTCAGGTGGCGGCGGCTTTGAGGGTCGGAGCAACTGCGGGGAATGTGGTAACACCTCTGAGGCTTCGGCCCGACGCTTCTGCGCTTGCTGCCATCAAGCGGCCCCGCTGGGGGTGCAGAGCAACGCCGGGCTCCGGCAGCAGCACCGCACCCTGGGGTGTCCGCATTGCTGCGCCCAGAGGTACCAGCGTGCGGCTGCCTGCGCGCTCCCACCAGGAGAGAACGCATGTGGATGGGATTCACCGTCTTTCACATAGCGATCGCCTGTTTTAAACCCTGATAAATAGATTTTCAACTGTGCAACGGAAAACTTTATACTAAAAAATCTATTCCTGAACGAGAGTAACCTTCTACCCGACAGCTACGGGCCTCAAGGCAGCTGCCTGTCTTCTGGCTTTGCCTGCGTTTCCTATGGCTGCCCGTCTGCTGGCGGCTTGTGTCGCGCTGCGGTTCTCTCAACGACCGCTTTTCCCAGCGCACCGGCAAAATCCCAGTTCCTTGTTCTGTCCCTAAGGGCTGTCAGGAGCGGGACCACCGAGAAAGCCCGGTCTGCCAGGTGTGTCTTCCGGCACTTTCTCAGGAACCGCGCAGCGGTGACACGTGAGGCTGCAATAAAACGTCTCGTGTTTCTAATACACGACCCCATAGCTCGCACTTGTTAAGGACACACGGAGAAGTTCCGTGGCGCTCATTCCCGCAGGTGCCCGTCAGCCCTTGGAAGGGGCGGGGCGGTGCGCGCCGGGGGCGGGCGGCGCGTCGGAAGTGCGCGGCGGCGCTCGGCCCGGCCCGGCCGAGCTGCGGTGAGTGCGCGCGGGAGCGAGCGGGGGCCGGCGGAGCGGGGACGGCGCTGTGGGGCGAGCGGACGGTGTAGGTGGTGGCGGTCGCTGGGGCTCGGTTCCTGTCCCGCTTAGAGCTGGCAGCGGGCGGGCCCGGGCGGTAGAAGTGGAGCCCAGGGCCTGAACTGCGGGAGCCGGAGAGGAGAGGGGCTGCCGCCGCTCCTTCCCCATCATTGGTGCGCCGCCAGCTGCGTCCCGGGAAACGGCAGCGTGAAAACACCCGGGAGGTGCTGAAGATTACCAGGGGGGTTTAAGTATGAAATAATTTAAGACCATGTGTAGTTTATTTTTATTATTGTAACTGATAACGCATTATTTTCTTTAGTTAAACCATAAACATGAAGAAATTAAAGCTTAAAGAACTGGAAAGCTGTCTTCAACAAGTTGATACTTTTGAAAGTCCAAAACTACTACTTGAACAGTATCCAACTAGACCTCATATTGCAGGTAGAGGTGACCCACACTACCGTTTCCTCTTTTACTAGTTTATCAGCACTTTTTGAATTAAAAGTTTTTTCTACTGCATTGTCTCCTTTGAAGGCTTTATACTAAAAGTAGTTAAGAAAGTATATCCAACAGGAATGTGTATAGTAGTATTATGGTAATGTCCAATACAGAAATCAAATAAATTAATCTAAAAGATAATGTTGTGATAGAAGCAATTTTAATCTGTAACTGTAAAAGCTGAAATGGAGTTATGTCATGACCCACAAAACCAGTAAAAGTGTATATATAGACACTTGTCTATACCTTAATTATACTATTTTCCGTGGTTTATATCCTTCTGTTGATTTTCCCCCATGAAGTTTAGAGGCATAATTTTTCTACAAGCAATATACTCAGAGCTCTATCTCTCCACCAAAGATCCAGAGTTTGTAACTCGTCAAAATGTTTTTGACTCTTCACATATAAATGAAAAAGAGAACTACAGGTGGTAAGAACATCACCTGGAAATTAATTAAAGGGGTTTTCTAATGCAAAATTAAGAGTTTTCTGAAGGCAGAAACAGCTTTTCTTGATTAATCACACACATATTTGGTATTATTGACCTGTTTTGTTTGTTTTGGGTTTTTTTTCCCCAGCATGTATGCTTTATACAATTCACAATACTTTTGATGATATTGAAAACAAAACAATTGCAGATTTAGGATGTGGTTGTGGCATGCTCAGCATTGGAAGTGCAATGTTAGGAGCAGGGTAAGTATTCAATATTAAATTTGGTTATATTTTTTTCTGGCATAGAAGAATAGAAATTAATACTGAAACATAGCAATGCTGAACTAAAACATTTCAGGTTAATCATCTGGTGCATAATCAGGCTGTTTATTAAGTTTTAACTATTAATAAGCATTCATACTGTGAAACGGATGGACACTTGTCGTGAATTTGGAAGCCATTTACTTTTCCCGTAAGCATTAAATGAACACATGAAACATCTTTAACAAAATTTAGATTTATACTTGAGAAAGGGCAACAGAAGTACTTGAATTTTTATCAGCACTGAATTTATAATGTATGCTTGTTACAGTTCCTAGATAAGTTGTGTACACAGATCCCTTACTGTAGAATTTAAATGCCATTTTAGTTTGTAGTAGACTAATATGTGACACTTTTCTTTTTTTAATAGATTCTGTGTGGGCCTTGACATAGATGCAGATGCACTGGAAATATTTAATAGCAATATTGAAGACTTAGAGCTCACAAATGTCAACATGGTTCAGTGTGACATCTGTTCTTTATCTGACAGCATGTCAGATACTTTTGATACAGTTATTATGAACCCTCCCTTTGGTACCAAGCATAACAAAGGTTGGTAATTATGAAACTCAGAAATTATTATAAACAAAACAAGTAAGGGAAATGCTTTCAATGAAAGATCTCCCTTATCAGTTATGTATTCTACTTGCTTAATGTTCTGTTGATCTGGAATCAGCTTCCTAAGATTAACAACTTCAGCATTGTAACTAACAGTCACTGGGATTTGAAATGAACAATACTAAATATTTCATATCCCTATCATTTTTATTTTATTAAAAGCAATTGAGTATGTTTTAGAAATACTTTCTGTACCTTAATGTATTCCGTGGTGTTTCTCAAGTAGCTATTATTCCATAAACAAAATAAGCAGATCTTTGAGCTTCCATTTAACAATTCTAATAATTTCATCATTCTTTTAGGAATTGATATGATTTTTCTGAAAACTGCTCTACAAATGGCAAAAACAGCGGTATATTCCCTTCACAAAACTTCAACACGGCAGGTAAGTTCTTCATTTTAATAGGGCAAGAACTAACCAGACAACAAAATAGGTTGCTATATAGATGTCTATAGCTTCATTGATTTGATGATTACTATGTGGGGTATGGTTGGGTTAAATACTGATTTTGTCAAATAACTGCAATCTCACATGCACCAAGATAACAATGTGATCTAATGCTTTGGCTTGAAAATCAAAAGCACAGGAGACTTACTAAGTACAGAGGTGTAGATGTTTATAAAACTGATCATCTTGAAAGCTCATTTATACACTATCTACTCTTGTAGCACATTCAAAAGAAAGCAGCAGAATGGGAAGTGAAGATGGAAGTCTTAGCAGGTAATACTTGTTAACAGAAAAAAACCCAAAAATCTTTTGTTTTGGGATATTATCTCTAACACTGCCAGCCAGTCATAACAGCCTGAGATAAATTTAAGTGTGATTTAACACAGAAGTGACACAGGTCTTTCTGTTTTTAACAGACTTTTTTTATTTTTGCGCTACCTGGCTAGAATACCAGCTGGCATTTAATAAAGCCCTAAGGAATACATATTCTGTGCAGAATTAGATTTGTTCCTGGACTAGATTTTGTCTTCAAGCAGAAGTTACCTCTCTTCCTGCTTCAAAGGGAGCATTGCTGAAAAAATGAAGCACAGGTCGGTTTTCACACACAAAAAACCCATCCTTAGTCACCCAAATATTTTTGACAGTTACCTTCCCAGTTCTTCAGTACCACTAACCAGATGCTTTTTACAGTCATAGAACTTGAGAAGTGAAGTTGCACAAGTGCTTGAAGCACAACTGCATTTCAGCCATCCAGTTAAATGTCTGATGGGGATGGCTTCAATGTTTAGTCATCACTACTGCAGAGATGAAACAGGTATGACAGGCCACAACAGATATAGACATTAGAAACAGAAGTACATAGCTGTAGGGTTAAAGAGGCTGATTATCATCCTAGTCTAACATGTATTCTTTATACTGTTCACAGAACTTAGGTTTGACTTACCAGCATCATACAAGTTCCATAAGAAGAAATCAGTAAGTATAAAACCTAAGTGAAAAAATACTGAGGTAAACAAATTCTCCTTAATGAACTTTAGGTTTTAGGGCTGTATGTACTGGATGAAGAATGCTTACAGCATTCAGTCACATCATTGCTGTTACTACATTTTGTAGCTTAACGGGGAAAAGAATCCTGATAATGCCAGTCAAAACTATACACAAAGATTAAAGCCAGCACTGCAATTAGATGGAATTAAGCTAAGGCTAGCTTCCTTGACTCAACTCCTAATGCTCAACCCTATCTGCAGATTGGGCTTTCCAGTGAATGAAGTGCTGAAGGCTACAGTAACAAGGATGTTACAGCAGTAGCATTATTTCAGAGCCAACCTGGCGGTAGCAGGATGAGCTCATGCACTTCATCTCACTGTTAAAAGATACAGTCAAGACACTACAGTATGGCAGCCTAAGCCCACAGCAAGTTCCTAGCTACTAAATGCAGGCCTGGAAAACATGTATCCGCATCCCTTACCATAACGGAAGCAGAGAGGAGACTGAGAAATAGTTAAAGACTAATTGGGTATGTTGAGCAGAAAAGAAGAGAGGCTTTAATCAGCTGGTGACTATGCTCTTGGTGACTTGAACTTAAGATTACTTAAGTCTCTCTTTATCTTTGCTACTTTACTGTTGAAACATTATTTTGTATTAACCAGTCTTTAGTGGAAAGTAGTTTTAAGTCCTGAATTTATTGCCAGCTGCTATTAAACATAAACACAAGATTACAAAGTCCAAAACATTTTACATTTGAATGAGATGCCAGAAAAATTGAGACAACCTGACAGTATAAACAAAACTATAAATAGAAAAGTATTTCAGAGTTTTATGTTAGGAGTAAGCATGCTGCTTAAACAAAAAAAAGAAAGCTGTAACCCAATAAAATGAAGCTTTTCTCTAATTGTAGGTTGACATTGAAGTGGATTTTATTAGATTTTCTGCCAAAAAAGTCCTGAACTGAGGCATGTCTTTAAAACCTATTGAAAATGGAACAATAAAACCACTATTTTTTTAAATTCTTTTATTTGAGTATTACTGATTGCCATCTCCATTTTCTGTTTTCAGTTGTTTTGGTGCAGGTTCTTCCTTTTCTGTTTCCTCTAGTGGTCTCTTCTTGGGACTTGCTGGTTCTGCAAGATTGAATATATAGTCATTTAAGGTAAAGGAAAGCTTTGCCTGAAATCTTCTGAAAAAACAAACTCTTCTCACCATGTAAGTCTGAGTCCCAGTTATCTACAGCCACAGCTACACTAGAGGATTTGCTTGTTACTGTGACTAGAGCTTTTAGATGTTCTAAAATACCCCCTTTTGAAGAGCTTCAGCCCTCTCTAACTCCACAGCAGGAGGGCAAGTAAAAAAATGAAGGAGTAGAATCTACCAGAAGTAGGGTTCAGTGGGTTTTAGTTAAAAAGGTGCACTATGTAATGAACAGAAGGTTAGCTCTTCCTCTGCTCCAAGCTGAATACTGACAGGCCAAACTATTAAATCTTCTCATATCCTTAAGGGGAAAAAAAAGTGCCACTCAAGAGACTGAATCTGTACAGTTGTGTAATGCTGCTGACAACCACCATCTTTCAATGCATAATGTTTTAAACAGCTGTGCAGTATAGCCTTATCAATTATCTTATATGCTTTTTGAACAGCTGTGGAAGGAATTGAGCACAAGGCTCTTAAGGCAGATACTGTCAGGAAGGCAGAAAAGCTACAAAGCTGAGCCAAATCTGAAACACACGTAAGAAACATGAGTACATGGAGCTACTTTTTGTAAAAGTACTGAATAAGCTGCATGAACTGCACAGAATGACATACCTGTTTTAGTATCATTTTCACCATCTTCTTCGTCATTCTCAAACTTTATTTTCTTGCCCTGAAACTGTATTTTTCCTTTTTGTGCACCCTGAGGTATCTTTCCCCCTCTTCCTTTTCCTTTAATTTTGCGCCCTGTGGAGACACAAGATCAGGAACTTTCTATCAGTTGTCTTTTAACTGGCCAGCTGCAAAGACTGCTTTACAGTTAAGGTCAGTATGTAGTATATATTCACTATTTAAAGAGTGAGTTTCACACACCAGTTCTAGGACATTATAAAGGCTTAAATTAGTAAGAGGAAAAAGAACCTTTTGTTTTCTGTTTCAACAATTCCTGCTGATCTTCCAGGATTTTTTTCAGGGCTTCTTTCTCTGCATCTCCTTCTAGCACTTCCCATGAAACATCCTTGTTCCGGAGCTGCAAGTTTCCATTATGTGCTGCTTTGGCTTTTTCCAGAGCTTCTTTGGCAATATCCTTAAATAGGATAATTCCCTTTAAAAGAAGAGTGGCATTTGCATTTTAATCTTACTGCAAAAACATTCAGCTAAAATGATGAACAATATATCCTGTTAAGTGCCTCAGCAAATTTATTACTGATGCATGATTGTAAAACATGTCTAGACTGAAGCAAAGCCCTCAAACTGTACTAATGAACATTCCCGGTTTTGACCTTATCAACTAACAAGGCTGGAACCTTTATCTGTTCTTTTGAAAGAAAGGAATAATTTAATTCTCTAAATATTCTGCAATTTCAAAAGACAATAACTTACTTGATAACATAAAACAATAAACATTTATTTAATCATTCATTTTCAAATTTCAGTATGGGAATCTTAAGTCCTTGTCTAGGATTACTAACCTCCTTTGCGCCTCTAACAAAGTGTATCCACTTGATTTCTCCGTGACCAGAAAATACATCATGGAGGTCTTCTCTGCACGTTTGGTCATCCAGATCACCAGAAAACTTCAAAAGACATCCTGTCTTTTCTTCCAGAGACTTCTAAATTAAATGAAAACCCCCATATTATCACTGAAGACTCAAATTTGAATATTCATATTCCCCCCTCAATCCTCTTAAACGCGATAGCGGTAAATAAGTAGTTGAAGTTACAGTAATTCAAGGATTTTTCCTGTATAACCTAGTTCTGCTGATGTCCAAGTCTGGTACAGTGTGTCCCCCCTCATTTTTTTGAGTTTTCTTTGCTTACTGTGATACATTATATGGAACTTGGGACTCCTTTCATATATTACTTACACTACTTAAAATTTAAAAAAAAACAGCTTCCTGAAGGCTGATAGGTTGAAAATTTATATAATGCCAGTGGAATCCTTAATGGATCCTTTAAATGCCATATAAGAACAATCATCTCAATGGTAAACTCAGGATCACTCTGAACAGGCAAACATGCCTATTAAGAAAAATTCAGGATATGAGCCTTTAAACAAAATTAGTCTATTGAAAATAAGATTAAAACACCATGAAAAAACAGTCTTACTGTAAGTTAGTTGGAAAAGCTGAAGTGACTTTCTAGAAAGTGCTCTATATTACGGTATTCCATGTTAGCTTTATAAAATGTAGGTGATTTAAAAAACCCATACCATTTCAGCATCTGCTGCTTGTTTCTGCTTTTCTTCTTTTTCCCTGCAGAAGAGTTAATTAGTTATAAGTCAGTTCAAGCATGGTCAGACAAGCAAAACACACACTTTGACTGACAATGACTCACTGTTTAGCTCTTGCTTTCGCTTCTACTTTGTTTTGTTTCCTTTCTTCGTTCTTCTTTGTACAATACTCCTCCCTTCAATAGAATATAAATTAATTTAAAACATTCTGTTATAATTAGTTTGTAAGACAGCAGCGGACATTAAACAGTTGAAATTATTTTTCCAAGTTCAGATGTTAAGTCTCCAAAAGGTTCATCTATCAATGCCTGTACAACAGCATGAAAAACTTGCTTCTCAGGCCAAGCCAGGTTCTTGTGTAAATCCACCCTCACCACTGTTAGTTCATATATCAGTTAAGTGGACTTACTTGAAAAGTACTATCAGCTCTGTGTCTTTGTACTTTTGATTTGGTATCTCTGTAAACTTCTTAGCAGATTCAACACTATCAAAAACTGCAAATATTGAGCCCTGTGAAATGATAAGAGATTGTTAAGAGTAATTGAACAGAATGTTTTCCAGGAGACATGCCTGCCCCAGGTCTAAATGCTCATCATTACCTTAAATGTTCTCTGCAATGTTCTCCTCATTTGAATATTTTCAACTGGACCTTTATCCTCAAGCCATTCTTTGATATCATCAAGAGTAGCATCTAGTGGAAAGCCTTTCTGCAAGACAGCAGTGAGCTTCAATTATATGCCACAAAGTGACTCTTAACAATTATAACCTCTATAATACAAGTTAATTCAAGATTTACTCTCAGATGGTTATCAGCTAAAGTCATGCAGGACAGCACACAGAAAAATTTACTTACAACATATACAGATCTGTTTTTAATTGCAGCCTTATACTGGTCATTTAATTCAGGAAGGGGTTTATTTGGAGATCTTCTGATTTTAGTTTTGTCTTCATTTATTTCCATTAAACCAGTCTTGGATTTTCTTAGTGCTTCTACAATAACATCAAAATCTTTTGAAAGGCGACTTAACCTATTGAGTAAGCAAACAGAAGTTATTACCAATACACAGGCAAAACTGAAGCCAGATGTTAAAAAAGCAATAGGAATTGTAAATGCACATCATAAGGCCCCAAACAGAGATAGGTAGCTGAAAGTTACTCTTTTATCCACATTAGTTGTACTTTGCTTTACCTGTTGAATTTGATCATTACTTCTAAAGGTACCCAGCCATCATCTAGTTTGATCTGTTCCTTTAGAAACTTGTCTCTTGGTAGATTGTGATTGCCAAAATAGTACTGCAAAAAGGAAGGGGGAAGGGAGGGGGGGGAAAAGAGGAAAGAGAGACATGTCTTTGAATTTTCACCCTTAAAAAGCTCATTTTCATCTAACAGTTTACTGCAGTAGATTGACACATACCAAAATTAATTAATCTGAACAACTGGGAATTCTGAAATTATTACTTCCTGCTTTAATGTGACACTTTGCCAAAAATTAGCTGCAATGTGTAAGCTGTAAAAACAAAGCCACCGTAAACCTAAACAAACCAACCCTACACTGAAACAGTGCTTCATCCAATTAATGAATTGGTTGAATTAATGAGGCAAAGACAGATTGCAATTTTGTTTAGGAAAGGAGCAAAGCTTATTCTGTTAACATGATAAGCACTCAGCACCCTGATCAAGCTCTGCAGAGTCAAAAGTCAAATTTGTCACCAGCAGATCCAGGTTGTGCTCCTTAAGGGGTATGTATGCAAGAATACTGTATTTGCACCCTGAAAAATCATACTCATAAGACTGGAATTTCTAGGTCTCATTCAAGAGAATACCATAAGATAAATCATTATTTTATATTTAATTTTTAATTTTATTTAATTATTATGTTCTTATTTCAATCTTGTCCAGCATGGGAAGACATTTCAGTTCAAGACAGAAGAGTTAATCAGATTCTTTCCCTGACTAGCAGTCATCTGGTCAAAGGTCAAATACTTGAAGCCGTAAGCTAAATTGGAATATTTTCACCAATATTGTGGTGTTTTGAAAAGTCAGTGCAAGTTTTACAACACTAAAGCTCTTCCTTTAGTACATCTCAAACTCACATCAAAAGTCTAGTTTTGTCAACTATATATAGCAAACAAACAAAATACAGAGGTTGAGGAATCTCCATGTTTTGTTTGTTACATACAAATAATGGCTCCATATGGTAATGGGCATTCACGAACAGCTGCATTTTTGTCCTTCAAGAAAGCGGTTTTGTTCTAGATGGCACTTAAACCAATGGGCTTATGTTTTTTATTGTAGGATAACCCACCAAGCCTCTAGAGAGACAAAGAGTTAATCTAAAATAGGCATATGTTTAGTTCTAATTTGTAGCAATAAATTACAAAGCCGTAAATAATAATAGCAAGTTATGCAATGTGCCAGTATTTTGACCAGCAGAGATTCCTGAGGAGGAGGATTTTTTCCCCACAAAAATTAAGGCACATAGAATTAAAATGCACTCTCCTCCTATTTGCACAGGTAGAATAACCCCAGCAAACACGGCAGTAAATTGTTTAATGATTCCCTTACTATAGCACCAAAATGCTAGCAAATCAA